TAACAGAGTTTTCATTTGCTTTTTGTTTACAAATTTAAGTAACAGTAGATTTTTTGCTTTATGGAACATTCATAATTTGTTTGAATCCTTTCTACTGACCGAAGAATAAAAATAATTGGGTGGCTGCAATACAGGTATGTTTTTCTTAACTTTTGTGATTAAAGGCTTGATAGGGTCTTCTCTGTCTCATTTCTAAAAATCATTAGCGATCGAATTCCAAAGAATGTATTATTATCCTGTATAATCACCTTGTTTTTCTTCTTTTTTGTATTGAGGAAATAAGCATTCAAAGCCTCATTTATAAGCATAACGGCAAAATCATTCACTGTTACTGCAGTGGGTTCATCTTTCTGTGTAATTGGGCAATTCTCTAAAAGTAAATATGGCAGCTTTTCGAGTGGGATCGTTTTTATCTGACACCATTCACCCATTTTGTTTCAATTTTAAACCTTATACAGGTAAGTATATATGTTATAGACATTTAGATCTGTTGTGAAGGATAGGATATGTATTTGATTGAGTTGTAGCTACAACTGCCGTCAAAAAACTGGATCAAATGTATAATGGTAATGAAGATCGTATTTTATCTCGTAGGAGCTATGTGCTGTGTGTTCAATATATTGAAGATAATTTTGTTATAGACTAGCATTCCTATTGAAATTAAATAACTATTCGGCCCCACGTTGGGCGCCATTTTATAACCTGTACTCAAAAACAACACAGGTGGCTAGCTCGAATAATTTTAATTGTTGGGACATTCTGATTGAGCACGGTTACAAGTACTTTAAAACAGTTAATACAATACAAATACTAAGGGGTTTGCACGGGCGGACATTGGCCCATCCGCCCTCCACAGAGGAAGCAGGCTGACTCTGGCTTAAGTATCTAGAGAGAGCCAGGAGAGAGCGCTCTAGTACCATGTTTTTGCCAAGGAAATGTACAATGAAAAACATCAAATTTCCCGGTAGGAAATATACAATCCCAAAATTTCTTCGTAGCCGGCAGCTACAGTTCAGAAACCACTTTAGAATTCTTTATTAACTAGGTGTTCAGAAATTGAATTGATAATTTTACGTTGGGCTCCATTTCCGGTAGGAAATACTCATATGGGAAGAGAACAGTCACCAGTTGATCCATGCTTTGATCTCCAAGATCTCAGCCACATTGGAAACGGACTCTTCTGTTCTCTGGAATAACTCCTCAGTGAAGAGAACAGCCACCTGTTGATCCATTGGAAACGGACTCTTCTATTCTCGGGAAATACTCATCAGTGAAGAGAATAGTCACCTGTTGATCCATTGGAAATGGACTCTTCTGTTCTCAGCCACAAATTAAATGCAGTGAAAATAGTCTTAAAATAGTTAAATTTTATAATTGAGCATCAACTAGTCATTAGGAGAACAAGAATTGGATATTCAAACCAAAAACTATTCAAAATGTATTATAGATATCTTACAGGATACAAAATCTAATCTTTGAAGGCAAAATGAAAATTCAAGTAAAAAGAAATTCTAATGAACTTAGTCAAAACAACATAAATTAATCCTTTGAAGGAATAAAAATACTGCTTAAAAATATTGTAGATATTTGACAGAAGGTAAAATCTTAGCTTTGAAAATAAAAAAAATCATTCACACATATAAGAAATTTTGACGAAATTGAAAGTCCAAACAAAACCTATGAATGAATCTTATGAAGAAATAAAAAATACTTTTCTATTATACTTTTTTTGTTAACAAAAAAATAATTTCTTTCTTTTAGATTCACATATATTTTATATGTGATCAAAATTCTTCAATATATATAGAGAGAGTTAAAAATACACAACACAATATATAATAACACTTAAATTCAATAATAAAAAAAAAGGTAATTATAATACTAAACAGAATATATCAATCTTAGTAACACTCTTTTGCTTCATAAGTAAATTAATGAGTCAGCAGAAAAGTGAAAAGTATGGATTATAAATAAATTTTATAAAGTATAAAATGTTAACTTTAATTTTCAAGAAAACTTCCAATATTTGGACAAATAGAAGTTATCGAAAAATCGATAACAAATTTTTTACCGGAACCAATCCCATATAGCGGTGTAATAAAATCTAAAAAAATACCGTAAGACGTGCAGCTAGTTTAAAAAAATACAGCAATTTTTTAATAAGACGGGGAAACGGCAGACACGGTGATAAGACAAAACTGTTCACACTGCAACTCGTTCTGTGTTTCCAATTCGCCCCACTCTTTACGAAAGTTTTCCCCATGCTTGTGGTACCTTTGTATTACGTGGGATACCCCGAAAACATAGGAACAATTTCAGCCGGTAGTTGTACATGGGTGTTTACGTTACGAAAACCAATAAAAATTTAAAATCGATGTTCTTACGTATTTTTACAACAATATAAAAATTTTTAATTACCTATCTATCTTTTCAAACAAAAAAATTTTACATGTTCTCGATTTTAAAAAAATTTAATTAATCAAAGTAAGATGAATTTTTACTTCCCAAATTTTTTAAATGAAAATATTTTGCGCCTTTCATGGATATTTGTGCCAGGCCGCCTTAAGGGCCAAAACCCCAAAGGCTCGAAACCCGCATTTTCGCCACTGTTAAAAAATGGGGAAACCGGCCGGGTTCCGGTGCAGTGGGGAAAAGAAGATCGTAAAACTTATCAGATTTTTTTCGTAATTCTTCTTTTTCTAATTGCTTGAAAGGGAAAACTTTTTCTATGATGTTCCTTGCGCGCGTTTTTTAAACCAAAAGCAGTTTGGGTTAAAATGTAGAATCATACCTCTTTGGGGGCCATATTCTAAAACTTGAGACAATCACGTTTAACTAAATTTAAAACCCTGCAAACGGAAAATAGGTCCAATAACATGGGGTTCAGACTGTATCGGAGATGAAGTAACAAGGACATCTGAACCCCATATTAAATGATTCGTAGGAAAATCTTTCCGAGAAAAAAGAAAGCCTGAAAGCCTGAGTTATGGTTTTTTTAAAAATTTAAAAAACCCTTTAAATTTAAAAAAAAGAAACAGGCACCCCCAACTCGAAACTGGGCCTGGTGTGGAAAAAAACAAGAGGAACCTTGAACCGGGTTTAAGTCTGTAGTGGCAAATGGGGAAGCACTAGCTCGGAAAGTAAAGCTTTATAAACTTCCCGTGAAGGGGAACAACTGTGACATAAATGGTCTCGTACATCCCAACGATACACAGAGTAGGTGATCCCAAAGTTTCATCCTTCTATCTCTGTAATATCGTTACGTCATCAAAAGATCGAACCCCATAAGAAAAACATGGGGATTCTCTAATTTTAGTGATAACACCCACTACCTAAGCGCACTATCCACTATCTTAACAGATGAAATAGCTCAACGAGGAGAACCTATAGTCCAAGTTTCTTTAACGAATCTCAAAAATTCTCGAAGCTATGTGGGATTTAAAAAAAGTTTTAACATTAAAATAATTTTAAAATATTAAATATGGGTTAAAAAATGGGGCTATGGTCCTGAAAAAATTTTCAGGATAATCATAGGAAGAACAATCGAATCCAGTAGGTGCGGTCGACCAAGGGGCATAGGTTTGAGTTATTTCTGGGAAACCCTTGGGGGAAAGGGGACCCAAAAAAGTAAAGCTCACCTAAAAAAAAGAAAATATGACGGGCCTCCAAAAATCTAGTCCCAAGCTCAATTCCTTAAGGAGGTGAAATTTTTTCCAGTTCTCATAGGATTAACATGGGAGCATGAAATTTTAGTGCTTAAGCCCTCCCCAGGCTTACACAATGGGAATGAAGCAGATGACTGGATGTGTCTCGATGAGTGGAAAACTTGGTTCAAATTTCAAGTCCGAGATTCGAACAGGAGGCAAGATATTGTGAATTTAAATAAATTTAAAAAGTTTTAGACAGTTAAAAACTGTAGAAAAAATAGCCCTATGAGCATGAAATTATAATAACTGGAAGAGCAGATAGAGAGGATTGAATGACCGAAGTCCTAATGGACTGTGAGGCCCGGGTGCCGAGATATTGGCCAAAAAGCTGTAAAGGGGGGAATGCTCAGGGGGGATGCGTTCCAACAGATATGGCTTATAACAATAGTTATTATGATTCCCCAAATATCAGTCCCATAGCACCAAAAAAAGTGGCATATTAAAATATTAGACAACGGTGTGCGCGCGTGCATCCTAAAAATTTACCCTCACCCTTTTTCCCTAACGACCAAAAAAAAAAAAAAAAAAAAAGAAAAGGATAACTTCAAAAATAAATATACGAATACAAAAGGCTCTTATAATTTGCTACAATTTAATAAATGTGTTTATGTTCATCGAATGCGTTTGTAGTAAATACATCTATAATCATATATATCACTTGCACTTTTTATTTAAATAGGTAAACTAATATTTACTCTTATATTTTAAGTACATGAAACACAATTTAAAGATTAATTTACTAATTTTTTAAAAATTTCCTGTAAGTATGTTTGGTTTAATAACAAAAAGTGTTCAAACAAATGTATCAGAGAAGCTCCGTAGGCGAAGGACGAACTCTCCCTACTAGTAGTGATGTCACAAATCTGCGCAAAGCAAAGATTCGCAGACACGGGGGGTCGCTCAGTGGTACTTCATTCGATTGCTAATCGAGAGGTCCCTGGTTCAAACCAGGGTGCTCCCTTCTTCAGGGAAGTGAAGAGAAATATTTTATGAGAATTTTGAAGGCGGGAATGATCTGTCCCGTTCTGTATATTTCTAGATAAAGCAGTTTCGTATTCGTTCCTACGGAAGGCAAAGGTTCGCTGAGGCGGGTGTATAGCTCAATAGTAGAGCATGTGACTGCAGATCCGAAGGCCCTCGGTTCAAACCTGCGTGCCCTCCTCAGGGAAGTGAACAGAAATATTTTTTTTTAGAATTTCAAAATCAGGAACTATCTGTCCCGTTCTGCATATTTCTATACAAAGCATTTTCGTATTTGTTCCTAAGGAACGCAAAGCAAAGGTTATCTGACGTGGGGGTATAGCTCAGCTGTAGGGCATTCGACTGCAGATTGAGAGGTCCTCGTTTCAAACCCGGGTGTCCTCTTCTTCAGGGAAGTGAAGAGAAATATTTTGTTTGAGAATTTCGATAGCGGGAACGATCTGTTCCTTTCTGCATATTTCTAGACAAAGAATTTTTGTATTCGTTCGTAAAGAACGCAAAGCAAAGGTTTAGATTACGCGGTGCTATAACTCAGTGATTGAGCATTCAACTGCAGATCGAGAGGTTCTTGGTTCAAACCCAGGTGTCCTCTTCTTCAGGCAAGTGAAAAGTATTTTTTTCTTTTTTTTTTGAGAATTTTGAAGACTGGAATGTGATTTGTCCCGTTCTGTATATTTCTATTCAAAGCATTTTCGTATGCGTTCCTACGGAACGCGAAGCAAATGTTCGCAGACACGTGGTGTATAGGTCAGTGGTAAAGTATTCGACTGCAGATTGAGAGGTCTCCGGTTCAAACCCGGGTTTCCCATTCTCCAAGAAAGTGAATAGAAATATCTTACTGAGAATTTTGAAGGCGGCAATGATCTGTCCCGTTCTGTATATTTCTAGACAATGCAATTTCCCATCCATGACGGTGTGCGTCACTTCCGTAACGGTTTTGCGTCACATACGTGACGGTTTGCTTGCGCATCGTAAAAATTCAACCTCATCCTATTTCTCTTGCACCCCAAAAGAAGTATAACTTCAAAAACCTAGATCATATCTTTCAGGCATATACTGCCCAGGGTTATTTGAAGGATCTACTTTCAAAAAAGAAAACTCGATGTGAAATATTCTAATACACAGTTCCGAGTTCCTAAAGGTTCAACAAGAAAAAAAAATGTGGAAACGCCAATTGAAGAGAATAAACAAGCGATTCAATTGTTAATTTGAAAAGCGTCTACCTTTTTAAGAACATCTGCAAATTTTAAATAGCCAGTAATAATTAAGTAAAAAGAACACGTGACCTTATTTGCGTAGGATGCCGATTTGAAATACAATGGTTACCAAATTTTACAATCTGCCCGAAGGATATTGTGATGTCACTATGAGATTTAGATAAATATTGCCAAATCAAAGAGCTACCTACTCTACATTTTAGCCAACTGCTAAACCAAAAAATAAAAAAAAAATGCAATTTTCTTTCTTGTCCAAGAAAAGAGACAGCAAAAATTAAAAATAAATGAAATAGTTTTTTTTAAAAAATTTACTCTCTCTCTCAGACAAGTGTAAGGTGTTTCTTTCTGATTTCAATGTAGATTTGGATAAAAGGGGAAAGAAAAATTCCAGTAAAGTAGGCAAACAGGAGACTGAAACAAGTAAAATCTGTTTAAGGATCATGCATCAGATATCGAATCAAAAGATGTTAAGATATGAAGGAGGAATATCGATGAAAAGAAATAAAAATCTTCAAATGCGAAATACAGTGGTCAAAATAAGTATTCGACATGCAACGATTTCTACGTATATTGAGTGGTCGCGGTAGCCGAGTGGTATAGGTATCGGAGCGTGGCTTGCCTTGTCATAAGTTCGAGCCCAGTACCGCTAAAGACCGACCGTGTAGGTCAGCGATGCACGTTAAATGTGTCAAGAGCTGAAAGGACCTCCCTTTGGTGTGGTAGTTAGGACAGGGTGGTGCCAGCTCAGGTTTCATCCACGTCACTTGACCATGGTTCAAAATTACGTGGTCCGTCGCCAAACGCCCTCGTGTAGTTAAACAGTGCGACGTTAATATTCAATCAATCTACGTATATCGACTTAAGACACCTTACTATGGAACAGCAACAAGACCATGTTCCGCTATTAGTTGCATATAACAGTTCAGTTTCTATTATAGAAGTTTTTGTATTTACAAAAACAAATCTAAGGTAATAAATCACCACTGTAATTTTCAAAAGCAGTTTCGCAAGCAAAATTTTTATTTGACATAGGAGGCTTTGGTAAATTTTTATACCGAGAATCAAAATTACCTTTAAGTGTGGTTGCAAATTCTTGTAATTCAAAGCATTTGGACAATTTCTGAGAGTATTTAGAAAGTTTTATGTAAGCAGTGAGCTAGATGGGCTGAATACAAGGAGAGTTGTCAGTAGAAATTAAAAATTTACTCATAAATACAAAATTTCGGCTACTGTAAATAGGCCAAGATAAGTGTGCATTATATAATTAAAAAGTATTAAGAGCAAAAATCGGCTGATAATAAGCCAATATCAAGTTGACCAAAAAACTTTTCCAAGCGGTGAAGCAATGGCTTGCACGTCAATAAAAAGGACCACAAAGCCAATGTATCAAATTTAGCAAAAGTTACCAAGAATTGTTTAAGCATTAAAGTTACGCGCCCCAAACCGTTAGAAATTACCTGAATAATAATGGATTTAAGGCAAGAAGTTCTCGATAGAAGCCATATTTATCCAAACAGAACCTAGTGCAAAGACTGGAATTTGCTAAAAAATTTGCCAACAAACCAGTAGAATTCTGGCACAATGTAATTTTTTCAGACGAGAGAAAATTTAATTTCTTTTGTCGATGACAAAATTATATGGCACAGAAATTGCAATAGTGAGTCGGAAGAACGAAATATGTTGTCCATAGTAAACTATGGAGGAGAAGGTGGTATAATGGTTCAGGGGTGTATGGCGGCTTCAGGGGAGGGAAATATTGTCGTACTTAACGGCATAACGGACCATCTGTGTTACATACAGATTTTAAAAGGAAATTTGGGTACCAGTGCTGAAAAACTAGGTGCAGAGGAGGACAACCAATTTTACCAAGACAATGACCCAAAACACTCCACTCAAAATACAAGGCTTAGGCTGCTATACAACTGCCAAAAGTTATAAAAACAATTTCAACCAAAGTTCAGACCTCAATCCAATTAAGCACCTGTGGAACAAATTGGAAAAAAAGGTTAAGAGAGTGCCCTTTTTCTAACAAACGTCGAATGGAGGTCCTTAGAGAGAAATGGCCAAAAATTGACCAATAAGTGACAGAAATTTAAGTTAAATCGGTGCCACAACATTTAAGAGAAGAAGTCATCCATCGGAGAGGAATGGGCTAAATTCATTTGACTTCATTAGTCACATGATAACTGAGCCACGTGTTTTTGGCCAATAAGTTCATAAATTATATAATGCGACGTCATAAATATACCAGAAATATAATCATGTGTTTCCAGCCAATTAGTTCATGTGCTTCACTGTTGTCAACTTTTTTCTTTTTGTAGAAACTTTCTTTTAGAAAGTACATATTTGTCAACGAGATATAATAATGCACATAGTAGTTAAACAAAATACACTTAATTTAAAAGTATTCGTATAATGTAAGAATTTATTTTAATTTTGAAAACTGTTTGAAGAATTTTAACACGTGAACTCTTTACCCAATCATATCAAATTTTAAATGTTATCTAAACTTAACAAGTTGAAAAACTAGTATGTCAATTTTTTTAATTAATGGGAAACACGTGATTGCCGTTATCATGTGACCATCATGAATTTAGTCCCTTGCAACTAGATATTAGTTTTATGTTATTTGTATATTTTTCATTTATTTTTATGTCTTGTCGAATACTTTTTTTGTTTGCGTAACTGCCTTTGAATGAAATAATTGGGATTTTGTTAATTTAATATATCTTAATGTGTGTGAATTGCGAAAGATGCAACATTTAATACTTAATGATATTTGGCTTAAAATCAATAAAAAGTTTTTGTTTTCTTTTATAGTTTTTACTTTTTAATCCAATATATGCAGAAAATCTTCGCATGTCGAATACTTTTTTTGACCGCTGTATCAGGGAAGATCAAGTAAACCCAAGCATGAGAATGGAAAAAGAAAAGTAATATATCTTGAGACATCCTTATAAAGCTAGAAATTATAACATTCTAAAAATTATAATTGAGTGAGCAGTTAAAGGATGTTATTCGAATAATCACTGTTGTTTCCTATCGTACAAGCCTTGCAACAATATCAAGCTGCGAGTGACGACTATCCATAGGAAATGGTCGATTTCAGCATTGTTATTTCGTTGGTTAAGAAGTTCAGAGTGAAGATGGAGTAAATCTTCGCTAGATTTAAAAAAATCTGGAGGTATTTAAGTCTAAATCAGTCCACCGTAAATCTTCCTACACTTTGAATAGGTTGAAAGCTTTTTAAACCTAAAAGTGTGTCATAAGCAGGAAATTGAAAAAAGTCGGTTAATTCTGGTTGGAAAAAATCGAAGACTGTAAAAACCAAAGATTTCAATGATGTAACCCCTTTTTATTTCTACCTAGTAATGACGAAGTGCTTCCTTCCTATTCGGATGTGGATTCTCATAAAAAGATGAAGTAAAATGCTAGAGCAAAATAGAGAAAGCGGAGACGGCAATTACAGAAAGACCAACAAGGAAAAAGCCGTTTTTGAGGATCGTGCATCAGATTTGGAATCAAAAGATTGCAAGAGCTGTGAAGAACAAGAATTGAAGCCGATAACTTAGAAAAATCAAAATAAAGGTAATAAAAATCTTCCTAAACCATTTATAAAAATATCAGCTGCATCTAAGCGAAAGAGCTGAATCAAAGAAATATGATAAATATTAAAAAGTTCGATATAACATTACCATTTACGAAATTTTGCTAAACAAGCATAGATTTTAGATTGGGCAGTTTACATAACAATACAGACACCTGTGAAATTGAAGTTTTTAAAACACACAAAAGAGGTTTTCGGTGATTTTTGAACAATATTATTGATTTTGCTAATGTTGAAAAGGACCACCATTTTTTACATCACATCAAGACTTTCTAAGCACAGCATCGATATTTTTGTTCAAATCCTGTTTAAAAAAAAAAAAAAAAAAATTCTTGAACAATTTAGCGTGTATTACCTAGAAACAGTGCATCTTTTTAAATGTTAAATCTATGTAAATTTTGGTTCTTGATAATGGTTATTAATGAAAAACATTATTGCCAGTTCTCGCATGTTGCCTCTGGTTGAGACAAAAACAAGAAGTTGCAGTAAAGTCTAAACTTTTACATTCAATTAATGCACAATTTCTAGAAGATCACCAACATGCAATTTTAATTTGTTTC